AAATTATAGCAGTTGATATTGTTTAAAAGATTTGCATTGGCAAAAATTAAATCATTTAAGAGTTTTACTGCTTGTCCTAGGTCTTTTATCTTTGAAAGAGTTGCCCATGCCATCATATACAATAAAATCAAAACCAAACAAAATCCAACCCAGCAAAAGCAATGAAAATGATATAGGACTTTAAAACAAGACAGTAGGAAAAAGCAATGGTCACCACCCTCAGAAGGAGATCCCCCCATAGATGCTACATTGTGTATTGTCATCCTCTAAATAAATGATTAGACACTGACTTTAGACCTGCAAAGTCAGTGAAACACTGAACTGTACAGCATTAAATTATATTCCACCTTAATAGCCATCATTGCACCTGGTGGGAGTGGGGGTGGCTCTCCCAGTGTGTGCACTGGAGGGGTTGGCATCCCTTTTTTCCCTCCAGCTGCCTGTGCATGGCACCAATTTGCAGGGAGGGCTTATTTATTGGTGACTTCTTGTCCTCTTCCCCTGCAGTCCACAAATAGCACTGACTCATGGGAAAAGGCTGTTGTCTGGCTCTCCTTCCTTTTAAAGTTACTTTTTAAACAACCTGGAATGTGTGTTTCACCATTGGCATTAAACTGTGAACAATTTAGGCTATTTGGAGAACCATTTATAGGCTAGGCAGGTACAGTACTGGAAGGGACATCATCTGAAACTCAAAAAGAAATCCAGTTTTATAGGAGACTGTCTTAGGATGTGGGTAGTAAGTGTGTCTGCTGCTTGAATACTTACCTGAGGTTACATGTATTTAATCTTTGGAATAATCAAAAGAGATGAATGGGCCCAGCAATGATAGTGGCAGATTAAAGAACAGAATAGTTTTACCTTAGACCTAACTGCATGTTTTGGGTTGCAGTTGTTCAGCCTTTCAGTTCCAAATATAAAAACTTACATTTGGAAACAATGAATGATGAAGTTTTGTGTTTTTCCCTTGTGTTTTTTGTTTGAAATACTGGAGATTGAACCCAAGGCCTTTACACTGAACTATGCTCAGGTCTTGCATAGCCCAGGCTGTGCTCAAAACTTGTGATCCTTCTGCCTCAGCTTCCTAGAGTGCTGAGATTATAGGCATGCACCACCATGCCATTCCATGCCTTTTCCCCTCATAAGAATAACAGTGTTATATTTCAGTTGTAATACAAGTAAATGTTAGAGGAAGTTTGGAAATTAGAGAATTACTTAAGATATATTTATGCAGATGGTTAACTGTTTTGAGGAAAAACAATAAATGTAGAGCCTCATCTCTCAGCAACCAGTCTTCAACAGAATTTTAGATGAATAATTAAATGAAAAAAGGAATTACTTTTAAAAACCAGAATAAAATAGAAATGAATTGAATAAAAATTTTTTCTCTTTTGAAAGTAGTAAAAGATGCCTGAGGGCAAACAGAACACAGATTTTACTTTAAAACCCCATATTCTTTTTTTAAACTTGTAACCCGGATTAAAATTTTTTCAGAACAAAATAAATTTTGAGAAGTTATGTAGCCATTTAAATGTTTAAGGAGGAAAGTGGCATTACATAAGTAGATTGATAGAATATTAGTGAGGTTAAAAAATGCAGTGTTGATAGCTTCACACATAGTGAAACATACGAAGACTAATCTTAGAGAACAAAAATGGAAGAAAAACAGCAAAGTGTTGCATTTTGATAAGTGGTGATATAAGTGATTTTAAAAATAGTTTTCCTTTTTATGTATTTTTGAGCCTTTTTGAAATGAGCAATTTACTCATAAAATTTTTTATTTTAAAATTGCTTACAGAGCTGGGGATATAGTTCAGTGGCATAAGTACTTGCCTGGCAAGTTCAAGTTGATTCCTGGCGCCAAAAAATAATAATAAAATATAATTGCTTACAGAATCAAGTCCAAATACTTCAGAATTTCTTTCCATCTTGATTTTCTAGTTTAGCTTCTCCTTTCTTATACACAGCTTCCTTTACAGGGACTGGGACAGTTTGTTGTACAAAGATTTTATTAAAGTGTAGTAAGAAGTACTTCAACATGCTCCGCTTTGCCGAGAGGCCCAGTGCACCCTACCAGATTAGCCGCCTGCATCACACCTGCCAGTTACTCGGTGACCTGGGAAGGTGGACTTGCCCTGCACCCTACAGCCTGTTGGCAAGAGTAACTTGAAGTGCCTCTTAAAGCTCTGTCCTCTTATATTTTCAGTCTTCTTCTGTGGCTGTAACTCTTAACAATACTACTTTCTTCTTCTCAGCATGAAAAGATGAAGTTTAAGATGGTGATAAGGACACTAGTTTATACTTTTTAGTGACTTTCACTCTAGTATATTTTTTACTTCCAGGGCAGCAATTACCATTTTGCATGTACTATATTTTTAAACTTGCGTATCTTTCTTTCATACTTGAATCTCAAATAAGTAACAACTGTGTTTATTCATTTTGGATTTCCTTCCCATGGAGCTAAGTTAGCAAATATTGATTGATTTTAACTTGATTTAAATGATTCATGATAGTTTAAGTCATTCATCTGTTTTTACCTGTATTCATTTCTTATCTGCTATGTAATCTTAATTTTGAAGAAATATTTTATGTATTAGAATAAAACATAGTGCTAGGGATACAGCTTAGCGGCACAGTGCCTGCCTGGCAAGCGCAAGGTCATGAGTTTGATCCCTGGCACCACAAAATAAAATAAAATAAAATACAAGACATAAAAGATTTAAATATAAAAAAATTTCAACCATAGCATTTTGTTTCCTTTACTTCCTTTTTATACATTTTTGTTTGCTTTAATCTATCCAAATGTTGTCCTTCCTTTATATTCATAAATAATCACTAATCAACAAATATTAGTTAAGCATTTACTATCAGAATGATCATCTTAGAACTCTGGGAATATTTCAGTGAACAAAATAGTCATAAATACCTGGTTTCATAACAGTTTTTATTATAGTGAAAGGAGACCTATATTTGGTGTGCTCAAGATGTATGGTTAATATTTCATTTAAAAAATTGTAAGAGGCATTGCTATTAGTTTCCCTCAACATGCTTAATCTCTTTATTTTCACCACTTTTGGAAGCAGTTATGTAAGTTCTTTTTTCTGAGTGTCTTCACTAGTTGTGATAAAAAATACAAAAAATGCTCTACTGACTGCTATCCAGTGGAAAAGCAGGCTCATAAAACATGACGATGTGTCCTTGTCCACCTTACCAGATTGGGCACTGTGCAACTTTTGGCTATTCCAAATGTCAAAATGACCATAAAATGTAAATTTACAACATTAAGAGAGGATGGCAGCAAACTCAAAGATACTCAGGAAAGAGGTCTTCTAGAACTGTCCCAGAAGGTAACATGAACAATGGAATGATCCTGTTTAAAGTAAAGGGAAGTGTTTTGATGGGGCTAATAGCAATGTGTCTGTCTCTGTAATACATTTGAAAGTTTAAACATTCACTGAGTGTTCTGAGCACATATGTATACTATATGATATAATGGTAAATTCTCTAAAGAAAAGTAAAGTAGGAGGCCGGGGATAGAGCTTAACAGCACAAGTGCTTCCTGGCAAAGTGCAAGTTCTTGAATTCAATCCCCAGTCCAAAAAAATTTAAAAAAAAAAAAAAGTAGGAGAATAGAAAATACATATGTCAGGAAGAGGATTGCAGTTTTAAGTAAATTACTTGGTAAGAGAATCTTCATAAAAACAACATCTGAGGACAAGGATTTATAGTGGTGGAATACTAGAGACCTGTGCAGTGGCTCGCAGTCTCCTGCCCTACTTAAGGGTGCACAGGGAGAAAGAAAGAGCAAATGTCAAGGTAAAGGGGCACATAGCAGAGATCTGGGATGACCCCATGCTGTCTAGGAACAAAAGGCTGCAAATCTCCACCTAGCTACCATTTAATTAGCCAGTGCAGGGAAGGGGATAGGGTGCTTTTTTTGGAACAGTGGTAGAATGGACAAGTTTAATATCATAAAGGAAACAAGCCAAGATCCATCTCCACACCTGGGTGCTAATCTCATTTACTGAGAGAAAAGCAGAGTTTCCACATTCCAAAACTGGCCCACACAGCAGGCAGCATAAGGAGATCCTGGGACAGATACTGTCTCAGTCTGTAATCTGTGGTCCTCAACAATGGAACATGAATGTCCCACAGAAAGAGAATGTATATTATTTAAAAATCAGTATCAAGATTCATTCGGCCATAAAAAGGTCTTATCAGTTAATGCAGTATTAAATGGGAAAAGTAAAAAACTTAATTTCATCAGAAGAAAACACAAAAGTTAGCAGATGCTTTACATGGAATATATTGTTTAAGGTTTTACTTTTTAACATAATGTTTAATATATATAGTATTTCATGATTTTTATAGGTACAGTTTAAGCTGATGAATGTGTAGAAATATTCTTATTATAAAAATGATTAAAACAAAAATATTTTTAAAAAAGACTGAAAAATTATATGTCAACTTTATCTGTCAAGTTTTGCTTTCCTTTTAAACATATATAATGCACACATTTTCTTTTGTATTTTAAAAGCTGTAAACACCTAGCACTAAGCATAAGACATGTGTATATGTACATATGCATTTTTTTAGCACATACGTATACTACGTGATATAATGATAAATTCTTAAAAGTAGGAGGCCAGGGTAATAGCTCAATAGCACAGGCGCTGTAATATATTTTTAATATAAAGTCATATCCTTTCTTTAGTAACGTAGGGCTGTGTTTTACATTTTTAAGTTTCTTAATGCTTATGTATATTACCTTTAAAAATGCTTAAAAATTGAAGTTGATGGAGCTTAATTTACAGGTCATGTTTTATGGAGTAATGGGCTATAGATATGGTGGTATATTTTCCAGAATAAGAAATAAAGCTGGATAATACATGCCAGGTAACAGGTTCTATTTTGCATTCAATTAGTAAAGCATAGAGCTGTGATCCTTAGGACAAGGGAAACCTAAAAGATGAGCTCATCTTCTCTTATCCTTACTGCAGTTCAGGGAAGCAAAGCCCAGAGGACAAAGTCTAGCAGAGTGGAAGGAGCAGTCATTAGGGTGCGTGGCTGCTGAACCAGCTGGACATCATGAGTAAGTACTGGGAAGGAGGTAGCTGCTTTCAGAATCTGTTTCAGAAACCTTTATTGTGGTCTCTCAGTTCTTTACCTAAACACTGACTGAACTCTCTTGTGTACAGGGCCTGTCTCTTCAGAAAACAGCTCCTTCTGAGAGAGTTTTTGTTTTAGTATTTTTGGTTTGTTGTTTAGTTTGGATGGAAGCAGTTCTAGCCTTCTTGTTATTCATTATACACCTATTAAAATTCTCACTTCTTCTCCTAATGGAAAATAATATTATTTTGCCATTCCTCCTCGCCTCCAGAGGCCCAGATGCTGTTTGTATATCTTGTTCACTGTTTTCTCCAAACTTTAGTTCATCAGCCTCCCATGATGTTGATACTGGTTAATTACTGGAGAACAAAGAAAAAGGAAAGGTAAGCTATGATAAAAATTGGATTGATTGAGTAAAACAGTATTGATTACTGTCATTTATAGTAGCTATGTAGACTTCATGCCAGGATATTGCTACAAAATAACGGTAATGGATTTCTTTGAAATTGTATCACATAAACCTATACTCTTACCAGATACAAGGATCAAATATTTCAGCTGATACATACTCAGACATCTTCACTAGTGTTCAGTTTATGTGGACACTGACTCTTAACATATTTAAGGAGCAGATTCCCATATAACAGATAGATGCAGATAGGGTATATAAAGCAGTTGCTTTAGAATAGCTTGTGCATTCCTTCATACCAACAAGAGAAAGCAGTAACCAGAATGTATCTGCTCTAGGGTCTTCAAGGGGGATGTATAATGAAATAAAAAAGGTAGAGGGACTGGTTTAGGCCCTCTCTCTACAAGGTAAATAAGAGCCTCTTACAGTGCATGAGCCTAGATTTTAATCATTTTTAAAAAGAATATTTCTATACATTCATCAGCTTAAAGTGTACCTATAAAAATTATGACAAAAATTTTAAAATACTGAGAATTAGATAATGAAAATGCCAGGACAAATAAGGACTATAGTATTTGTACTAATTTGCTTTTGGCATATGATTAAATAATAGAGTGAAAATAATTGAGCCGAGAAAAAGATCCATGCATACATCTTAGTAAAAAGTCATCACTGAACCCAGGATCACCTAGATTTTTGTCTTGTGTTAACTTCTATAAAATGTTTTGAATTTTGCATTGACATCTGTAATAAACTTTTGTTTAGGGGATAAGGTCTCTCTTTAACTACTTTTTTTTTTTTTTTAAACATTAAGATGTCCATTGTTAGCACTATTTGTTGAAAACATTGTTCTGAGGTTGGGTGTGGTGGAGCAGACCTGTAATCCTAGCATTTGGGAAGCTGAGGCAGGAAGATCGTTGCAAGTTCAAGACCAGCCTGGGCTGCAAAGTGAACTGAAGACCAGCCTGAACTGCATAGCAAGACCTTGTCTGAAAAAGACCAAAAAAAAAAAAAAAAAAAAAAAAAAAAGGAAAGACTTGTTGATATTGTATTACTTTTGCTTTTATTAGTCGCTCTTTTCAAAGACAGTGTAGAAAATTGATATAGTCTCTTTTCTTCATGTTTGGAACAGTTCACCAGTGGACTTATCTTAGCCTGTTGCTTTCTGGTTTGGAAGGTCTTTTCAAATTTTGTCAGGTTATGTTATCATGGGAATTTGTGCATGTGTTAGTCACCTTCCCATTACTGGGGCAAAGTCCCTGACACCTACAATTTAAAGGAGAGACTTACTTGACTCATAATTCTGGAGGGTTCAGATCATAGTCTGATGTGTCTAGAATAGAAATGGCCCATAGAGTAAAGCTGCTCAACCCAAGAAGCAGACTGAGCAGGTAGTGAGGGAGGCAGATGCTGTAAATAAGAGTGCCCCATCCAGGTCGTCCCCCAGTTCCAACCACACCCCTCTTAGCAGCACCTTCAACTTGAACTCATCTACTGATGAGTATAAGCCCACACAGTCTGTTCACTTTGAAAATCTCCACTTCTGAAAACAGATGTAAACCATAGTTTGTATTATGTATGTGATCAAATCTATTGGTATGCTTATCTATAGAATTCTTTTACTTTCATTTTCATGGTCATGCAGTCTGTAGTGATGTCCCTGTTTGCTCTCTTTCACATATTAGTAATTTGTACATTCCTGATTTCTAGTTTTGTAATATGGAAGCTTTGCAGGCAGTCTTCAGCACCTTAATCATTGCTATTTTAAATTTCTGCTCTGATATTTCCAGTATCTTTGGTATATCAGAGTCTGGGTCTGAGATTGCTGTGCTCTTGAACCAGAATCTGCCTTTTATTATCATGTAATCTTTTTTCTTGATAATCTGACAAAAGCTGCTGTATAAAAGGAAGTGGTGTAAATAGAGCGTTGGCAGTATGTTAAGGTGTGTGGGGTGCATTTTCTAATGCTATAAATAAGGCTTCATCTTTCAATAAGCTTGTGCCTCTAGCATATCACTTAATAAGTGCTTTTTTATCTGCATCTCTCTCCCTTTGTGTTGACATAAGATGGCTAGAGGCTGCTAGAATTGGAAATTTCTCATCTCTCTAGTCAGGCTCTGATAAGTCACAGAATATAAGGTGGTAGTTAATGAATTTCTCCCCAAGGGTAAAGCTTGACATATTTCAGATGGTTCCTTTTCCCCTCCCGTATTCACTGAGAAAACCTAGTTGAGCTGCTGCAGATGTAGCTGGGAAGAGTACGAGGACTCCAGTTGTGTTACTCTGTCTGCCTGGAGTCTTCCTCTCAGAGACTTGTCCACGTTGAGCCTCCATATATTTATTTGTTCACATACAATGGAATGCATGGTAAAGAAAAACAAAATTGTCAAAAGATAAATGAATTTTGATAATTAAAATTTCCTGCTTATTTCAGCTTTATAATATATGAAAAAAATTTTAATTGAGCCCAGCAAACCATTTTAAACTATAAGATGTGGATACCTGTTCAAACATCTGAAATAATTTTGAAGTAATGAAAAGGCTTTATTCCAATCTATGTGTTAAAATATGCTGTGTAGGAACTATGGTCTACAGCAGAATAAAAACACTACATCCAACTTCATAGGTACCTATAGGTGGGTGCAGAAAGTCTCATATATTATTTGGACTGTTTTAGTTATTAGAATCGTGGCATTTCTGAATACATAGATCATCTCCTTCTGGAAAATATTAAACTTATTTTTTGCAATACATTGTTGATATACAGAGAAAATATTTGTGCCATTTTCTTTCAAAATTTATTTTCATTTTGCTTTTGATTTTGGCAGAAATAAAAATTGTCTCGTGTTTCCTTTAATATTCTTCCTAGTGGGTAAGTCAGCCTGAGCATGAAAAGCTTTTGGAATTGCAAGGATGATCTTTTCATTCACAAGCCAGGTTTCTTGTAGGTAGATATGAACCTGGGCCAACAGAATAGCAGACTGATTCCCTGAGCTGGTTTTAGTTGAAAGCAGAGGACAACAGAGAGAGATGGTAGCTTCTCCACTTCTACCAGAAATAGGAATGCACTCTGCCCAGCATTCTTGAAATTTTTGAATATCGGAGGACACTTGCTAAGTAATCAGTTTCTGGTCCTCCATTACCTTCAGAAAATGCATGACCACAAAGGACTGCTCAAAGCTAGACTCCTCAGGTTGCTTTCTGAATTCCTCCCTGTTCTTGTGTTGTCTCTTCATCATGTGCATCCAGGGACCTCCATTGTCCTCATTTGCTATAAATCCCTTTGGTCCCTGAAGCATTCAGGAATCACACTAGGTCCTCCTAACCCCACTTTAGTGTTGCTTATGCCCAGGCTTGTGTCCTTATTAAATTAAATCCTTACCATTCTCAACAAATATAATGCTTATTTTTTGAAAGCTTTCAAGTACTGGACAGTAGAGTCCTCTGATCTATCCACTCCATATTCTTGCCACTCTATCATTACCTGAAACAAACAAACAAACAAAAAAAGCATTCCCCAGCAGTTAGCAGAATTAAAGCTCATAGACTATCACATCTGTAAGGAAAACAGATAACAGATTTTGGAAAATTACGTAAAAAATACATGGCTGACACTTATAATATCACCTGCCTGTATGCCTGTTTTTCTGGATACCTGGGTAGAGAAGATCCTAAAATTGAGGTAATATAAAAAGATCTTGTCTCTAAAGGCATGATAGCATGGGAAAAAGTGTCCAGGAACAAAATTACCACCTGGAATTTGGACATGATGACAACTATGACAAAGATATAGGCAACGTCTGTATTTCTTACCATGACATTCTTGCTCCCAATGACAGGAGCATATATGGCTTTAGCATCTGATACAACCAAATCAATCCCCATATCACACAGTGAGTGTTGTGAATCTGTTAGAGTCTTCAGATTCTACAAAATCATTTAATTACATTAGGATGCAAGAATGATGTCATAGTATTTGAGAACAAAGAGCGTCCATGTGTGCATGTGATGAAGAATCAATCTGGAGGGTGGAAAATCTCATGGATGAAGTTTTCCTTATGATTTACCTGGCTTGAAGGTCAGAGGTCATGCAGGACACACTGTATAAAGCCATGATGTGCACATTATGTGAAAAGGAACCGAATACCTACAGTAGCCCCTGGCAGGAAATTTATGAATAGAAGTGGATGCTTGGTAGTGGTATAAGATGTATTACTCATTGTTAAAATTAGAGGGTCAAGCATTGTATCCAGGGCAGGCACTATTTCCAGTGTATTTTTGCCCTTTATTTTAAAAGCTTTATACATTCAACACTCACTTATCATGTTGCATAGATTATCTCTCTGGTTTTATTATGTCTAAAATAGTTGTCTTTTCTTTCTTTTTTTTTTTTTTTGTTCTCTATAAAAAGGAAACTTAAGACCAGCCAATGTATGTCAGATTGTGTCTTGATGATTCAAATTAAACATTATTTATCATATTGGAGTATACACTTCATTTCATTTCTTTCTAAGTTATGTTAAATTTCTTTTCTTTAATCCTTATTGCAGAGTTCTAAATATAAGATTTCTTTT